TTGATAATTTGCAAAACCACGTGTCTCCAATTAAGGTAGCTGGAGACCAGAAGGGGGCTAACATAATAGCTAGAAAAGACAACAATTAAACTCACACCATATATTTTTAAAAAATCACAAAACTACTATTTTCAAAGCTTGATAGAAATCATCATTTTTTAAACTTTCAGCCTAAATATTTTTTCAATTTTGTTGAGGATTTTTGCCAAGTTTAATATGTTGTTGTTGTTATGTGCCATCGAGTTGCTTGCGACTCATAGCGACCCTATGTACAACAGCCCTAAACTCTGCTCTGTCCTGTGGCAATCACACCGTCTCTGACACACCCATCCCGATTTCCCCTGTCACTGAATCAGTCCACCTTATAGGAGGCCTTCCCCTTCTGCGCTGTCCCTCCACCCTACCAAGCATGATGTCCCTCTCCAAGGACCTGTCCCTCCTTGCAACATGTCCAAAGTATGTTAGACGGAGCCTTAGAATCCTTGCCTCCAAGGAGCAGCCCGGTTTGACCCTTTCCAGGATGAATCTGTTTGTATTCCTAGCAGTCCATGGTATCCTCAATACTCTTCTCCAGCACCACAGCTCAAAGGCATCAATTCTCCTTCTATCCTCTTTGGTGATTGTCCAACTCTCTGATGCATAACAAGTGATAGCAAAGACCATGCCTGTATCAGACGCACCTTAGTCTCTAAAGAGACATATAAATAAATAAATGAATGAATGAATGAATGAATAAATAAAGAAATAAAATAAAATAATATCTGAATCTTGGCACCAGCAGCCAGGAAATTAGAAGACATATTGCCATGGGAAAGTCTGCTGTTAGGGACGTCTCCAAAGTACTGAAGAGCAATGGTATTAGTGTTTGGCATCACAGCAACCTCAAGTTATGTCTGTACAGCATATGTACAGACCAGTGCTATACTGCTTAGAAGAATGTTTGACCAAAACATTAAGGCATAAGGAGTAAAGCAGCTGGCTTACATATTTCCCTGAATCTAGAGGAAGGGCAGGGATGATCCTTAAAATAATGAGAAATAATGGCTAAAAAAACCAGAAGGTGGGCTGTGGTGTTAGCCTAAATTGGCTTTTTTCAGCCGTTGCCTTAGCCTTTCTGGTCCTAGCTACCATAACTACACACACATGGTCTTACAAATCAACAACTGTGGAAATTGTGGAAGAAAAAGAGTGCTTCCCATACTAAGGAGACTTGAGGGAAACTGGAGCAAGACCCTGGTGAGAGCAAGACCTTGGTGGTGAGACCCTGGTGATGCTGGTGAAGAGACAGTGGCATTGCTGTGGAGAAACTGGCAAGTTGTAACCAGAGGAACCTTGGAGATGATGCCACAATTAAAGGTTTACTTGATGGCTATTTAAATAAAAGAATTGGCTTGTAACTGCTCTGAGATAATTTAATAGACGGTTGAGGAATCCAGAGGCTTCTTGCATTTGTGCTGCTAAACAGACTTTAATTAATTGAAGAATTGTATTGCTGGGCTAAAACCTGGACGTGGATTGGGTGATGTCTTTGCTTCCTCAACTCTATAACTTCCCTAAAAACATGACTTGATACCACAGCTGTGAGTAAAGTCAGTGAGTCAACAATGAATATCAGACTTAAATGACTGGTAGAAAGAGTTGCAGGAGCATGGAGGGGTGGCATGTCTGACCAAGCAGCTATCAGTTTGCTGCTGTAAATATATTTGATGGAGACAGTTCCCCCTTATGAAGCAGGTAGAAATCAGACTCAACCACCTTCACTTTGCATCTGTTCCTTTTCCAGAATTTCTTGCCTTGGAATGATAGTGCATCTCCTTACTCATTAGGCCACCAGAGCTCCTTAGAGCATAATAGGTGGAATAGATATTTGTTGAATAAAATTTATGAAGGTAAATGGTTGATTTATTTCCTTTAAGAACACTTGTGTTATTTTCCTGATTTTACTCAGTAGCTGAATGTTCTTGGTATCAGTGAAGATAGAAATAAATCTGCTTTCTGAAAGAGCTAGGTTGATTACCTGGCATATGCAAAGAACACATGTTTAGTTGGATTTACTTGTTTAAAGGTTTAAGTGTTAGCTTTGCCATTTATTTCCATGTGTTCTTTGAGTAGCTACTTAGGAGTTCCTTTATCTGTAGAATAGAGTTATTAAATGGATTACTATTTTCTAAATCTTTAAATAATATGAAACAAAGCTTTATATAAACAAATAATGTGTGTAAAAATAAGCATTTAATGAGAACCTACTATTTGCTTTCTTACTTAATCCTCACAATAACCAGATGAAGTTGTTGTCAGTCACTGGGATTGGTACTTGAGAACTATTCAGATGGCTGTATCTTTTTTCCTTTTATTGGGCCATCAAGTTGACTATGGTGTATTAACAACTCTTTGAACAACAGATGGGAACCTTGCCCTATCCTGTGCCATCCTCCAGCATGCCTATTTTCACTGTCTTTGTCAATGAAAATATATAATCCATATTTTTTTATGTATACTTTCAGCCTAATTTCATGTTCACCACTCCCTTCTAAATTCTGAAACATAGTGACAATGAAGTTTTTAGTATTCTGTAGCATAAAATGCTCTGCCCAAAACATCTAGTGGGCTGCTCAGTTTAATATCAAAGCCTAAAATGCTCTTGTTCTTATAAATAATCACTGTTTATTTCAAAAAGAGTATTCACCCACTTGAATTTTAACAACTGTGTGTGCAAACTGGGAGGTAAACAAACACAGAAAACAGCAATATTTTATTTTCATAAAATCAAGATAATCCTTTGTTTGCTTCACAGTTTGTAAGAAATCTCTTTAGAATGCCCATAGGAGATCCATAGACTAGGTTAGGGTCATGTTAGTAACGTTCCAGGCATACTAAACAGATGACAGCATGCTGAGAATGTTTCTTTTCTACTTTGAATATGTGTTTTGATTTAAAAACACTTGGTTTATTTTATTTATAATTCCTCTTTTGTTCCTTTTTCTTGGATTCTTTGTTTTTCATTGTTTATACCAACTTGTGGTTTTGCTTTTATGTGCCATGAGGATTTTTGTTCTATGACCTTACATAGTCTCTAAAGTCACAATATATATACATAATATATAGGGAAAGATGTTAACAGATAAATACTTATTTTTAGCTGGGTTTGGGGTTTTTGGTTTGTTTTTTGTTTTATATTAAGTCACTGCCTAACTCTTATGGTTTAATTTCAGAATGCTTTCAGCAAATTCTTTCTTATTGGCATGTTTGGTTTTTTTTGAAAACCAGAAATTGCTTGTAAGATGTAGATACCCTTTCCAGTGAATTACTCAGAAAATTTCAAAGCCTATCTTAAAAAAATCAGTGATGTTATATTGTTTAAGACTTTGAGCTCCGTCTTTTCAGTGTCCTGTCTTTTGAGTTAAATGATTCTCCTTGAACACACAACAGGAGTTGTATAGAAACATCTCTAGAAAAGAGTGAGAAAGAAAGAGAACCCATTTGTGGGTATTCTAGTCATAGAACGGCTCATTTTAAATTGCCACTTGAAAATGGTTAATAACCAGTATAATATTTACAATTTCTTTCCCTTTTTTATGGATGTTCAGAGTAGTTTTCTAGAGCCACCATAAAAAAATATTACAGATTGAATGGTTGGCCGGAGTTTATTATCTGACAGTTTTGGAGCCTCAGAGTTGAAAACTATCATGTTGGCCACGCTTGACCTTCTGAAGATTATCTTCCATACTTTCCTAGTGGTGATACCTGGTAATCCTTGGCATTCTTTAGCTTCTATGTGGATTGAATTGTCCATCTCCATCTTCACATGACAATTTAACCCTGATCCTTCTATATTTCTCCTTTTTTTGTTTGAGTCAAATTATACAAATTGTTTCTTCTTCTTCTTCTTTTAAAAGGCAAATATTAGAAGGGAGTCTTGGTGACATAATATATAATGTACCAGGCTGGCAACTAAAAGTTCAGCAGTCCCGGTTTCCCCCACCTCTCCATAGGAAAAAGATGGGCTAGCTCCTCTTGTTAAGATTTACACCCTCGGAAACCTAATGAAGGGCCACAATGGGTCAGAACCCACTTGATAGTAGTAGATTTGAGTTCGTGGATATTTATATTGGATTAGGACCCACCCCTACTCCACTCTAACCTTATGTTAACATCCTCGTAATCACATGGCCACATTCACAAGATGAGGCAGTTAGGGTTTCAGTATATTTTCCAGGGCTGGGGGGGGGGGAGAGGGGGGAAGGAGGACTTGGGAAGTGTAATTCATTCTGTAAAACAAAAAGAATCCCCAAACATGTTGCCATTGAGTAGATTTTAACTTATAATCACCAGATATAGAGAGTAGAACTGCTGTGTATGGTTCCCGAGCCCACAAATCATCAGGAGGCTGACTGCCTCATTTTTTCCCTGAGAGAACCTTGTCACTGTGATCTGCAGATATTTCATTTGGCAGACATCCACTCAACCACTGATTCGCCAGGGCTCCTCAGCCTGTAATATACCAAAAGCAAGGCACTGCCATCAAGTTGATTCTAGTTCATGATAATCCTTCATTGGGTTTCTGTGACTTTAAACCTTAACAGGCGAGGACTCATCTAGCAACACAACACATGCATGCTATGCCCCTGAGACTCCTTGAATCCATCATGAATCCCAAAGCAAAACTACTAGAGTCAGGGAAAGAGTTGATGACCCTCAACAAGATAGACTGACTGTTAACCATGGGCTCAAGCATAGCCAAGATTATGAAGGGGCACAGAATAGGGCAGAGTTCCTTTCTGTTGTTCAGAAGGTCGGTAGATTTGATGTCACCTAATGCCTTCAGTAGCCGGGCCATACATCACATTATACCATTTAAAAATGTTTGAAATGAAATAGATAATATACATGACTATCTTAGATCAACATGTAACATATAATACGCTCACAACAATAACTATCAGTTACAATGATAACTTGTTTTAATAAATTGTTAATTAACTTTCCGTGTATATTTTCAGAGAGCTATTGTTTACCTTTTTCCCAGTGGTTTGTTTGAGAAGCGAGCCCGGCCAGTAATGAAGGTAGTTACCTTATTTTATATTTTTCACATACACCTTTGTATGTTACAGTAAGTATCTAATATACTTTTAATTTGTTTTACAGCATCCTGACCTCATTTTTCCAAAACAAAGAAGTAAGTTTCATTGAGAATTACATAAGCATTTTCTTTTTTATTACAGTATTTTAATTCCGTAGCTGCTTCATGTATGGTGGAAATATATTCATATGCTATAGTTGTGAAGTAGGTGATACATACTTTGTAACTAATGATCGATGATTAGTTTTTAAGTTTTGAACTAAATAAAATTCCATTTTGTTTAGGTTAGTTTGTGCCTATCCTAATGTCCAACTAATTTATTTACATATTCATTTGGAAGAGTTTGATACAAGTCACCTGGCAGTAAATTCTCTTGGCATTTTTTAATGTAAAAACCCCCTAACTTCTTTTCTCTTTTGAAGGATATCATAATGTATAGCTTTTTCTTTTAGGCCAGTTAGCACTTTAATGAAGTCATGCTATTTTCTTCTAACTTGCACTGTCAAATAGCTATCAAGCTCATCTCTCCCACTTTCTCTGCTGTTTTTAAGATCTCCTCTTTATCTTTAAAGGGAGCTCTGGTGGCCTAGTGCTGTCCCAAAGGTTTGCAATTCAAGTCCACCAGCTACTTCATGGGAGAAGGATGGACGATCTCCTCAGTGCAATTTACTGCCTTTTAAACCTCCTTGAAGGATCAGCTAGGAACTTTATCTTTAAGTGTGTCAAAAACAAAAAAAAATCCTGAAGAAAGCATGCAACAAACTTAACAGTTGCTAGGAAATTGAACAATGTGTTTATCTGAACTGATACTTTCATTTAATTGAAAAAGTCTTGAAAAGCCCAAAATCTATTTTTTAATACTTAAAATATAAACTTTTATTCATTTATCAATTTCTTATTTGGTCCAGTAAGAGTTCTGGTGATAGAGTATATTACAGAATAGGCTGTTAACTGACAAGTTAGCAGTTCTTCTTCATACATATTTACAGCTTCAGAATCTCAATAATGGGTCACTATTAGTCAGCATCAACTTGACAGCGGAGGATTTTGGGGTATTTATTATAACCTGCTTTAGTTTTTTTTTTTAGTACATATATGTTCCTCCATAATTTATTATGGTCCACACGGTCAAATACCTTTGTATAGTTATAGCAGATTATGACTGTGGGGGTCATAACCAATTATGGTTAAAATTAAGAAGAATGAGAATCCTAGAACACTTACCTGTGCTTATCTGAAACCTAGACCTAGAACAAGAAGCTGTAGTCTGCATGGAGGAAAGGAAAACTATGTGGTTTAAAATTAACAAAGATGTGTGTCAGGATCTCTCCATACCAATTCAGTCTGTATGTTGAGCAAATTATTTGAGAAGCTGAGCTCTTTTAAAAAGAATGTGGCATCAGGATCAGAGGAAGACTCATCAGTAACCTTTGCTATGCAGATGACACAACCTGGCTTCCTAAAAATGATGAGGGCCTGAAGCTCTTCTTGCAGAAGACTATAGTATGGATTGCATCTTAATGTCAAGAACACAAAAATTCTCACCACTGGACCTATAAGCAGCATCATGATCTCTGGAGAAAAGATTGAAACTGTCAGTGATTTCATCTTACTTGGTTCCACAATGAATGCACTTGGAACCAACTGTCAGCAAATCAGGAGGTGTATAGTACTGGAAGTGTCTGCAGTCAAGAGCCTCTCCACATTATTGAGGAGCAATGATGTCAGTTTGAGGAGTAAGGTGCATCTCCTTTAGGCCATTGCCTTTTCAGTCACTTACTGTGCATTTGAAAGCTGGACAGTGAGTAATGATGACAGAAGAAGAATTGATGCCTTTGAGCTGTAGTGTTGAAGAAGAGTACTGAATATTCCATGGACTAGTGAAAGAACAAAGTGATATATCTTAGAGAAAATGGAGGTAGAATGCTCCATGGAGGCAAAGATGATGAAACTTCATCTCACATACTTTGAACATGTTGCTAAGAGAGGCTATTCTTTGGAGAAGGACATCAGACTTGAAAAAGTGGAGGAATCGCGAAGGCTAGGAAGACCTTCAACCTGCTAGATTTATACAGTGACTACAGCAATGAGCTCAAGTGTGCCAGAGATGATAAGGATAGCCTGGATAGGACAGGGTTCAGTTCTGTTGTTCATGGAGTCACTAGCAGTCATACTCGACTCGAGAGCATCTAACAACAACAAATTCATCAACAACTCCTCAGGAGAAAGATAGCAATCTCTTCTGGGGTGATCACTGGAGGGTCACTTATGTGTCAATTCCAACTTGATATGGTAGTGAGATAGTTAACTTGGCATGCTTTTATTGTGGTGTATAATTTTGTTATGTGACTGATAAAACCTCATGGCCTTTGGCTAAGTTCTGATTCATAGTAACCTTTGGGTTTCATAGGCTATAACTCTTTACTGGAGGTGATTATGCATCTTTCTTTCATATAGAGGCACATGTTAGGTACCCACTTTTCTGTTAGCAACCTGACACTTATGCCTCTAGGGCTTCACCTGGGACAGTTTAAATCTGCATCATTTTAGATTTAATAAATTTCTAAACAGAGATGTATACATTTAGCCTAGGAGGTTCCTATCCCTAATCACAATTATGTTTCAAAGGTAAAAAAAAAAAGTTACAATATAAAAACAATAAATAATGGAGTCTGATCATCCGTTATTAATAACAACACTAGAAACATTACATTAGAGGCTTATCTCTATCCTTGATATTTTATCTTTCTGGGTAATTATCTTGCTGACTGACTTAACAATACATTGTCATTGATTGTGTACTAATGTTACAAGACTTCATGAAAACGATGTTGGTTCTTGTTATTTTGTGTTGAAGAGGTGGAATCAGCTCATAGCTGATGCTCCAGAGGGTTTTCTGAGGCTGTAAATAGCATGCGAGAGGATTTCTCATCTTTCTTTCTTGGAGTAGCTCGTAGATCCAAACCTTCTGTCTTTGGATTGGCAGTGCTGCTCCTGACCCAGTAGTCCATCAGAGCTCTCTAATGATGTCAGAGTACTACTTAAATCATCCACAAAGTCATTGGAAAATGAGAATCTGATTTTATTTTTCAGTATAAATTCCCAGTCAAATCTTTTTCTCACTGTTGGCTATAAAATTTTGCCAGCTCCTTAAATATAGTCATGTTAAGTGGCCTAAATTAAGTACCAATTATGTTTAAGAGGAGGACATCCTAAATATGGTGGTGATAAAGGATATACTGCAAAAACAATGTAGTATTTCTATTTCTGCCTCACAAAAACAAATCAAATTCCAGATGAAGGATTTAGGCATGAGAATATATAAAATTCCAGAATAAAAAAAGGGACATAATTTTTGAAAGCACAAAGGTATTAGAACATGCATTCTCAATGAAGGTGATACTAGCTCCAAGGGAGTGAAGATTGGTTTGTGGAAGGTGACAAACTCTTAGATAATATACTGATTTGTTGCCCCCAAAGGAGTAAGTACAGCAGCAGATAGATCACAGTACATCTGTAGTATTACAATGCCATTGGGTAGGAGCATGGTTGGCAGGGAGAACATGTACAGTGAAAAAAGATGGCCTAAAAGGCTCCTTACTAGGGGAACAGGCACAATAATAAAAATTTTAAATGGTTCAAAAATACCTCACAGAAGAAAAGGGAGAGATTTGACTACATCTTTTTTATATAAATATTTTAAACTTTCTGATCATGAAAGATACCATAAATAAAATTAAAAGACTAAGAGTTCCTGGAAATAATTAACAGCTTAACAACTTAATTGTGAGTAAAATTGACATTTGCTTTACTTACTATAATAATTTCATTTCTCACATTATTTGGTAGTCATTATTATATGTGAATAAATGTCTGTTTTTCAAGAGCAATTACACTTAACACTTTTAGGAGGCCCCTTCTGTTTCAAACAGGAGGATCTGAAGCCTTTGGGAGGGATGTCACCAGAGAATTGAGACAGACGATATGGCATTAAAAAATGATGGGTTTTCATTTTTTTTATTTGTTGCATTGTACCAGTTAGTGTAATGTATACAGCTGAACATAAGTTTTTGGTTTTTATATTAAAGAAGATGATTTCGATTATTTTATGTTCTTTCTTTATTTAAAGCAAATTGTAGGCATTTTTACTGTGAAATATTTGAGAATATTTTGTTAAGTATAAAAGTTGTCTTATGTTCATGAGTATAAAATATTAAATGATTACATATTTACATATTAGTATATGTTAAAGATGCTAAGCTGAATACTAAAATAATAATAACAATATTTTTTGAAACCTTAAAAGTTAATCAGAATCATAAGTGTATCTTAAAACTATAATTAAATAATGTATATTGATAACTATATAATAAATTATAAATATATGAATCTTTGTGTATATCTTATTTTGATTTATTTATTTATTTTCTTTTGATTTTCTATTAGCAATCCAGTGGGGAGAAGACGGCCGTCCATTTCATTTTCTCTTTTATACTGGCAAACAGACATACTATGCATTAATGCATGTAAGTATACATATATGAAAAAGAATATTTGCTGTAACTAAGTCATCATACCAGAAGTTTTTCTCAGAAACTTCAGAATTTAATCAGTATTTTCATAATGGACAAAAAGTAAGATGTGTGGAGGTAAGATAGGATGTTGAAAGACTTTATTTCTTTTTGCTAAAAATATAGAGCTTATATTACAATTGTTTGTTCTTAAAATGCTTTTACTTTCAAATTTAAAATCGTGTTCGATAAATGTTCAGCTCAATAATAGTGCATATATGTATGTGCTTTGTTATTTAAGCACAATATTTGCTTTTCATAGGTTAATAGAGTGTGTGAAATCTAGTATTCGGGCCTAAATAACAACCTAAGAAATTATTTTATTACACATTTGGGTATATTATGAACCATTGTTTTGTTTTCAGAACTATAAATGTTTGTTATTGTACAAACCGGGGATGCTCCCCTAGATTTATTATGGTGAGAGGCAAGGCTGAATATTAATATCAGTTATGTACAACAGAAATCATTGTCTTGTTGAGGCCACAATGTCAAGTTTTATTTTGTTCTTTATATGCTTTCTTTTTAAAATCACAGAAATATGTGTTAAGCTTCCCTCCATCCACAGTCAGAATTTGGGTTGTTTAAAATCTATGGAAATGTTTACTCTGCTTTTTAGAATTATCTTGTGTTTATTTGTGCTCCACAAACCCAAAGGACAAAATCCCGACTTGTCAGGTACATTTATTTCTTGAGGGGTGGGGAGAGCCTTTCTCTTTTTTTTCCCTGCTTTTTGTTGACCTTGGGCAAATGAGCTTCTTGCCCTGGCAGAAATGGAATGAATGATAAATGTAGAGTGTGTCTTTGCTGAGTAATGGAGCTGCAGCTCAGGCTTTCCACTGAGGTTTTCTCCTGCACAGCCTGAGGCTGCCCGAGGACCCCTGCTGTTCATTTAAATAGGTATGTCAAATCTGCCTCCAAACGCCGCTGGTTTGATCTGTGGTAATATTTGTGAAGGTTCCATATGGACTTGAGCCCCCTGCAGTGCTAAGAAATAATGTACAACGCTTCATGGTGCAGACGCAAATTTTCTCTGAAAAGGGATGCAGTGCTGCGTTTTAGCTGTCGGAGAGGATGATGGAGCTGACGCGCTAGGCCTGTCAACTTGTTACACGGATGGGTTGCACGCAGCGAAGCTGTGGAAAATCTGTGCCTTTTAACTTTTCTACTTAATCACGGTTGTAGCATTGCCTTTAGACTGTATGCTACATTAATTCTCTTCCTGCCTTCTGCCTTTCATCCCAAGTTTCACGGAAAAAAGTAAAGCATGCAGGTCTTGTAGAGGAGCCTTATCAAACAGCTGTCATCTGACAAGCCATTTGCATTTGTTTTGGCTGAAACTGAGCAACCCAAGGGCAAGAGATTTTGTTGCATTCCATCATAATGAAGAAATTATACATTGTATAAGGGACTTACCTTTGTTTTTAGTTTGTTTATGTATTTTAAAAGGTAAGATCAGTAAATAAAAATATTACCATGCCTCTTGACTAAAATATCAGATATGGCTGATTAATAAAACATTCTTTTTTAAGTAATAAAGTTGGGTTTCTTCAGCATGTAAAAGAAACCCAGCAATTCTGGTTAATTTCTTTTTTTTTAATGTGGAATTTAATGTTTATTTCCTGCTCATTAGAATATTTTTCATAGATGAGTAAAAAATCTTTGGTTTAACATGAGCATTACTATTTAGACCATTAAATACCTTATATTGCTTTGGGGGGAATATGCTTAAATTTTAAAGTAAATATAGGTATAAAAGAAAATGGAGTAACTGTTTTCCCAAATATATGACAATCCATATATAGTAACTTAATTACAACTGTAGTCATGCCAGTTTCATTTCCTAGATAATGCAAATCAATATTATCCTAGAGAGTTACTTTGCAATAATGACTATATATTCCTCTCACTCACCAGATTGGTTTGTACTGAAGTCAAGCATTACATATCAAGTTCCATCATAAAACTTGAAGCTGTGTTCTGTGTTTGCTCTCTCCTTTGTTCTGCCTTGTGTTGGTGGTGGCGATGAGGGTGGGTGAAGGGGATAGAGTACCTTATCCTGTATATGATGGTGATCACCACTCTGTTGCTGGTCCTTAGAGCAGCAAGGGAATTGGCCCCCTGAAGACTGTCACAGCTTTAACTACTTGGAAATGAAGCACTGATTTTTACCATTTCTTTTTGAAGGTATAATTTTCTTCCTGTATGACATGGCAAAAGAGGCACTTACCCTAAATGCTATTTTTTTCCTGTATTATTGTCCATCTATAATTGTGTGAAATGTGGCAGTCATTAGCCTAGTGTTTTGACAAGTAAACAGATCCAGAGCAATGTGTGCAGTTCTGAAAGGAGACTCTTCTGGTTATTCTTCATTATTTATTATTATTTATTAACCTTTCCTCTGCAGTATATCTTTATTATAGTATTTGGTGACTGTTTACATCTTAAGCTTCTAGTAAGCATATTATAGCCACTCGGAAAAGAGGGTTCTGTTCTGATGCAACATATACTTAAAAGCCAAGACAATATATAGTGCTACAGTGAGTATTTGTATTTGACTTTTATTTTAGTCCATACAGATTTTGTATGAAAAAGGGGAGGTTTTTATTGGACGATAAAGATGATAAAAGGATGCAGCTTAACTTTTTTGTCCAGAAATGTATTACGATAGGAAAGTAGGAAGTTAAAATTTGCTGATTCATGGAGTTGGCATGTGTTCTATTCTAAAGGTCCATTATTAGCAAGTTAGTTGAGTCTCTCAATTTCTTGTGAACACAATGATACATATGTCTTTAGATTCTTGAAAATCAATTAAAAATTATTATACAGTAGAGCTAATATGATATGCAAATATAAAGAATGAGGAAGTATAATATAGTATTAACAAATATTTTTTTAATAAAAGTAATTTTCATAGGAAGAAAGTAGTTAGGGCTTTAAGGAGTTTCTCAGAACCTCTGAGTTTTGCAAAGGCAGTTCTGTGCTTGATGACACTGGCTCATCTCTTTTTTTTTCCCCACTTCAAAATGGATGACTTTCCATTTCCTCCTAGCTATATAATTGGACTTGTACATTTTTTGGACATGAGTTAGGGTTTCAGTCCAAGTTTCTAAACAGAAGAATGAAATAAAGGAAGATTAAAAGGTTTCCAGGAACAACTGAGCCAGAGCATAAAGAAAGAAAAAGATTTTTTTAAAGAGAAAGTGTATATCTGTGCATCAAAAAGTATGCGTTAAGAGCAGAACTGAGTTGTGAATAGCCTAGCTCTAGACAAGGGAGAAAAATAGTATAGACAATTAGTGGGAAGGAAAGAAAGGATAAAGCCAAAGAGTGGTCTGACCTTTTGAGTACTCTGGCCTGCTGAAACTACATGTTTTACCCACAGGACCTGGATCCTGACAAGCTGGTGAAAGAAGTATGGGTAGTAATCATGAGCAGGACATTTGTAATCTGGTAATCACAGTTCAATTTGTGCAAGTCTTGTAAGAAAAGTACTGATTTATAGTGTAGTCATTTTATTGACCAAAATTTCTGGGGGAAAAGTTTTTAATGCACTCAGAAAGTGAATGGAACATAATTTTAAACTCATTACAGCTTATGATTATTTGACTGAAATGTAAACTCTTTTCTAAAATAAGATCCATTATAGCAAACCTCTTCCCAGAATACTTTCTGAGGAATACAAGGTATGAAATAATCCACATTAATTTAAGTATACTGCATGTTCCTAATTCTGAGAAGCTCTAGTAGGGAAATATTTAACATGATAAAAGCTCTGTGAAGTCCTTCAGTAAAGAAACCTGTTGCTTTAATTCATGTCAGCTAAAACTTACTGGTCCATGGAACACTTTCTGTCCTGAATACCTTTTCATAGTCCCTGAAACTAATGCTTTGGAAAAGCTGTAAAAAAATATTGAAAATACACGATAGACTGTAATTGTAGGTATTGGTCATCTCAAATAGCTAAATATTCTCAAAATAGGCTTAATAGAACCACCTGAATTTTAGGATTAATATCAGCCCATGTACATTAAGCATTTATTGAAATATTACATAAATCCCACCTGATCACCCTGTCCCCAAATCTTTGAACATGAATATTGTTAAAGGGTCTTTGAAAACCACCCTGAGAATTCATAATCTTACCAAAGCCTCATTTTTTTTGACTAGTTTTAATAGTAAAAAATGGAATTACTTTCAAACTATTTTTTTAAATTAAAGATAGAGCCATAGTTGAAATTTATAACAAAAGCAAAATGTACAAAATAAAAGAATAAGTAAAATTATATACTTAAGCTGTTTGCTGAATTGAAGGAAAATCAAGTAATTCTAATCCTTATAATTTATGCATAAACAGGATTCATTTGCCCTTTGAAAGAATCTCATGACTTACTTAGAAATTCTCCAGTTTATTTTAAATGACTTAAGTAACCTTCCGTGTTCTTAGCAGATGAGAACAACAGCCCCAGGAGAAGTGTGTTGCTTCATTATGTGAAGATTCCAGACTCAATAAGCAAAAGTCCTGGGGACTGAGTATTAAAGAATTCTAACTTAGTTTAGATGTTTTTAAATCCTCTTTGTGACCTTGTGAATATTTAAAACTCTTACATGTAGTGCTCTTATCTCTAAAAATGGAATTAAAATAGTGACCCTTCTCACAGTGAGTTGTGAAATAACTACTTTACAACTATATAAAGTGATCCTTTTTAAAAAGCTACAGACTGATACTAAACTATATCTGCATGCTGTTTTAAGGCCTTTCTTGACAGCAGGAGTTAATTCAGTAATTAATTCAGAAATAGAAATTACTGTTCTGGAAGTATTTTTTAATATAAATTTTCCTCACATAGGAATAATTACTATTGTATATCTTCTTGTATGCTCCAAGTGCAACAATTAGGAAAATTAATTTTTTTAAAACCTGATTGAACCTGTTACTGCTGCTTGTATGTTTT